GGCCGCCGAGGTTCACTTAAACGCACCTGTACGAGCACCTCTAATTCGGGCATGCTTAAACTCTCCAATGTTCTTGTGTTCGACGACAGCTCACGTTTCAGCCGAATATAAGTCTTAATGTCCGAAAAGCACCAACGAGAGCCTGAGTAATGATACTGTAATTGTATGGTCGGCAAACGACCCAACTGCCCACAACGGGCATGTGACAAGACAATCGTAACCACGTCATGCCACGCCGGTGGGTGTAGCGCGCGGCTTCGCGGGAACAAGTTTTCTCGACAAACTAGTACACACCGAGAGATTGCCGCGCATGGCTGCATGATGCGCCGCGCGCGACTTAGTGGAAAATTACGATTGTCTTGTCCATCTACAAAACTAACCATCAACCACCATTCTATGCAACGCATACACCTTTGGCCAACGTGAAATAAAGGCGTCGTATCGTGCTGAGAATGATCCCGGCTTTGAAGGGCTTGCTGGAGGAGGTCCCGCTGATGTCATTCTGAAATTGAAGGGATGCTTTTAACAATGCACTTAGACCCTCTCGAACCTTACCGCAAGCATGAATACCTTCCGGAACGTGCCTCACAACAAGATGGCAACATTAAAATATCCTTAGATCCTTGAAATTTGCAGTGCTTGAACATCAATTGCGCTGCGTGGCGTGATATGAGCATGGTCGATGTCTTGTAAGGCTGAAGAACAGGGAGAGCTGAATAAATAATTAACTACAAGAAAAATTACTGTCACTGTACACCACCACAGTATAACACGATACAAGCGTCGCCAATGGCACAAAAATAAAATTATCACAAATTTTTATGCACGGGTTATTTTTAGCCCACGAGTTCTCTACATATTAACGGTAATCAGAGACTTTATAAGAATCAACGGGTCCATAAAACTTTATCTACACAATTAAAAACGTTTGTAGCAAATGAGTGACGCAATCTCAATATTACAAAATGTTTACAACGAACGGGTATTTATTAACCGAGGAGGGGAAAATTCAATATGTAATGAAAATATACAAAAAATTGTACATATCTTCAGGAAATAACGGGGAATGTGAGCACCTGCATGGGTAAGAATCACCTAACTTCTCAACCATTAAAGTTGTAAGGAGAAAAAAAGGGTGCCAGTGACCTTGAGGGGATTCAAAGAACACCCTGAGCAAAATAGGAATTCCCGCGAGTGTAAGGAGATTTCTCGATTACGTTAAAAGAGGGAAGGAGTTGCGAACCAATCCAAAAGACAGGACTCCTAGAATGACTTTATTCCTTTTTTCGCATAAGAAGTCCTTCAAATGGTCCCAAAGACACTAGTACCGGAGAGAAAAACTAGCGAATACCAGTACTTCTATCTCTATACATTCACCTGCATTTAAAAGAATCATATTAATCGACGAAAGATTGCCGTACTATTATGGGCACAAAATCAAACTCGTGTCAACGAAAATCAGAAAATTATGGGAGCATGAATCAATCACAGCACAAAAACCGAAAAGTTAACAATTTTGCTATTTACTCTAATGAACGTCATTCAAAATCTAGAAGAGTTGAAAAGTTGAGATATTAAGAAAACCTGCGCTAAAACTCCCTTCGAACATTACAGTCTGGTCACTTGTGTATCCTTGCCATTCTGTTGAATACTGTGATAGTTGGTGGGGAACATCACAACAGCTGGATGATGAGCCCGCCGGGCACAAGCGATAAAACTCCGGTTTGGAATCCTTGTTCAGCAACTTGCGATATAAGTTCAGGGATTTCGAAATATCCTGACAAACGGACAACCACCGAGCTCTGCGAGCAGCCGTAGATAAGGAGCCCTCCGATCCTGAAAATGAAAATGCAATCGTTATGATATGGTGGTCATGAAAGCGAATAATAGAGCCCCGGAACAGATAAAAACAAAAACTTGCCATGTAAGATGGAAGACTCCTTCATTTCCAGCTGTTCTAGAAGAATATACTTTTCAGCGAGAATATACTGCAACTGTAGAGACCTCACTGACAGCGCCAATATTCTCGAAATATCCTCAAATTATTTTGTTGATAGACTGTTTTATTTTGTAGTTTGGTTTGCTAACGCCACTGTAAAGGTCAGTGCACTCTGACTTGCGGGTTGGAGTCCTATAGGGGGGGGGACAGCTGTTTTGTTCACAACTAAGCATGCTTACTGTTTTTTTTTCATAAATGAGTCAAATTTGAATGGTGTAGAACCCATGCTTGGATGGCCAATGAAAGATTAATCGCTAGCTGATTAATCATACATGGGAAACCGTGGGATATGATGTTTTTAGATGCGGCTATCCAGAGTAAGCTACTCCGCTCTCTCCTAGAATTTTGACCATAAGTTCGAAACCCGTAGCAGCTACATTAAGAAAGATAAGCAGTAAAAACTACAGTCCTAAATGTTTCTTCAAAGAAGAAAAAACAAAAAATTTCATAGAGAACACCCTAAGTAAGGAGCTGACGGCCTCTCTGCACGGTTTTCCGAACGTGCTCGTTTTACGCCAGCAAAGCGACGTTCGGCCGTCTCTGGGTTCATAATTCTTTCTTAGCACCATCCAAGGTTAACACCATCAGAGCGTGAGAAAAAAAAAACAAAAAATGAGGGGTTGGGGGAAAAATTGAACTCGAAGTAGAAAACATTTGAGTCTTGGTGAGCGGTACAACTGCAGAGGCATTAGAACTGCCATTCATGAAGGACACGGGGGTAACTTTTGGTGAAGCCGTAAAGCGGCGAAAAGTTGACAGTCTTAAAGACTGAGGGCCATACTACTTGTACAAGCAAAGACGCCTGCGAACTGGTTGAGCTCGGGGAATGTCAATGAAGTGCGCTCATACAGTTTCATGGAACACTTGTAAGACTCAGAAACAGAAAAAAAGATATGCAACTAGTGCTCTTCAGTGAGTGTTATTTTCGACACCAAACAACATAAAAAGTGACGACAGACCTGATAAAGGAGAACGAGGCGGAGCTCCAACTGAGAAGTCATGAGGCTGACAAGATCAGCATGTGACTCTTGCAGTACAGGGGAGTCATTCACAGCCACCACAACATCTCCTAGAATAATTTGTCGAAACTACTCATTCTTACCGCTACGAAAGAAAGGACTTCAGTTTTCGTTTTTGCTAAAGTACGGTTCACTTGCAGAAGTTGTGCAGTGGTGAAAAAGCATCCTTCGAAGTGCGTTCATAGTTGGCGAATCAATTGTTCTGATCGCTCGACCGAAACGCTCACCCGTCCAGAGCGAGCAAATTGTAGCAAGATCAAAGCGAAAAATAGCGACATATAAACGCACTCTTGATCAGTACTTCCTCAGTATGCGCCACGCTCCCTACTCTCATATGGAACGTAGTGGAATCTTGCACGCCATATGAAAGGCTGGGGATCAGATTCAAAACTAACAGACGCTTAAGGCCAACCAAACCCTCCTTCGTTCCAGGCTTGTCTGAGAGGACAACGAGATTGGTTTCCAAATGATCAGCCCACAGTTCATTGTACAGATCATGTGGTTCATAAGATCCCAAAATTCTACGACCCTGGGCAGAAGCAGAATGCGTGCTGCATCCTGGAGAAGGACTAACGAAGACGGAAATTTTTTGAGCTGTACGGTATCACGAGGGTTCTGAGCTGACAACATTGGTCTCGAAAGAGGCAAATTGAAAACCACGTTAATCATGGCAAAAAAAGGACGATTGTCTCATGACCGCTCACCTTCTTGAACACCAGCGGCTGCTGCGATGCTGTTATCACGTACATAGTCAATATAAGTGATTCGCTCCTTCAAGCCGTACGGACCACGTTTGAAGACGTAGGTCTGAAGAAAAATACAAATTAAATCATACTACCTACAGAGGTCACAAACCAGCACATACTGCAACTGCAAAAAAGAACTCCAATACAGATATAAATAAATAAATAAATAATGGCGCTCAGCAGTGCCACTTATCCCACAACATACCTGCAGAGCGAACCCAAAACATTGATCTAGGCTGCTTCGTGATAACAATACAGTTCGCTGGGTATTGGCACGAAAAGGAGGTGCTGTTGGCGAATCATCAGACTCCTCATCCTGCAAACTGATAAGAAAATCGATCGAAACAGAAGCGCGTTCATACTTTGCGTGCTCGTTTTGAGAGCACGCCAGCGCTTTGAGCTTCTCAAAGGCCGACGCTCAAAACGCCGCCATACGCTCAAAATGGTGACGCAAAGTATGAACGCAGCCTTTATCCTGCAGCAAATCAAAAAAGGAAAATTCTTCGGAAAATGGTAAATTACTTACGACCATGGTCTTCGTTATCACTTCTGCTCTAAGATGTGTTGATTGTACTTCATAACAAGTACCTCAGCCGCGAAGTAGCAAACTAGAAATCATACAAGGACATCTAGAAGTACCGAAATTTTGATAGGCCATGCTAATCAATGCCATATCAAGGGCAGACAGAGATATAAAAAAGGAACGAAAAGGGTAACAGAAAGATACTTGAAGCATATACCTATGCCCTTCAGAACAAAAAGATGAGGGAAGATTTATGGTTACAAAATCAATACAATCACTTCGAATTTCAATTGAAGATAATTAATAATTATCACAAACCCGTACAACAACCACAAGTATGAATGACATTAGGGAATAACACAAAAAAGTTCACTAAGATGAGAAAGACCAAAAACTTCATCATGGAATGAAATTCCTTAACACGTTCCGGACCGCGTGACACACATGGTGTGTCATGCCACATTTTTCTTTCTGCGCTATTTCATACAACTATGTTGCATATACCCCATGCTCTATGGTCACCAGAGCACGCTTTTGAACTCGAAATACACACATCTCCCACAAAAGTGAAAAACAGTGGAGATTACTGGTTATCGATATGAAAAGTGACGAAATGATGCGGAGATCCTCACAAAAGGGCGGTCCGCAATGTGTTAAACATGAGCAGTACCGATATTAATCAAGAGGAAACGATCATAATGCCACAAGTAAGCCTAAATTCTTCCAACTGGGAAAATGAAGGTAAGGTAGTCAGCCCAAGCCACGCCTTGAGATCGATACGACTAAAGAAGAAAGATAAATGACGATTCAAAGATGAATTAGTCATGGGAAAACCAACCTGGAAAATGAACTCCCATGCGAACAACAGTAAAAACCAGCAGAGTACTCCAACAGCACTTAGTATAACGTATTTTCGAATAGCACTGGTGGTCGGTGAGGATGGTCGAAGGAACGCTTCGCCAAAAAACCAGACTGCGTTCGTGAGCCATACCAGAGGGAGGAAAAACAGGCCAATTATGAAGTATCTGAATAACGACTCATCGTCTAAAAAACATCAACAGAAAACAAAAGCGAAAGGACGAAGGGAAAAAAAACTGAAATGTGAAAATTTGAAAAAATCTCACTTTCGACAGAGTTCAACCTTAGCACTGTCATTCATCTTGTTAAGGTCCATTTTATTCTCTGAAAAAAGCTTTTCAAACGATTCAGACTCAAGAATAACATCAGCAGGCAGAAGTAGTGAAAGTTGTTATACGATGTAGTCACAGACGACGAAGAAATATCATATAATCGATTAGAGCGCAATGAAGACGACACTTGTTATGCACAGGTTCTCAGCAATTAATCTGAGCATCGAATGAAGTAAATCGTACAGGAAATCGATTCGTGTTCATGTGGCGATAGATGATACGAAGTGATTCACTGCGATAGATGAGACGAAGCAAGTACAAAGAATCAAACATAATAAACAAACAAACCTCTGGTCAAAGAACTCGGACCTAATGACATCAAACAACATAAGCAAACACCATCAAAAATGACAGCAAACGAAGATACTTCTAGACTTAACAGCCAACGAAGTAGCAGAAAGGGAAGAAAAACAAAAATATTCATTTTTCAGAAGCTGAAACCTAACACATTGTGGGCTATGTGCTGCATCGTGTATAAAAAATATCGAGAGAAAAATCGTTTCTTTTCATTTACGTCCAGTCCTGGGAAACTCTCAAACTGCCAATACCTTGTAATTATCATAGGAGTTCTGGGTTACAGGCAGAAGTCCTGACCCCAGGCTGGGAACGAAACCGCTCTTTATCAGGGCACATCGTTGTTGGGGAATCCCCAACAGGGGGAGGGGTCGTATTTGGCCGCCAGGAGAGGGGGGTCGTATTTGGGCTGAGAAAAATTTATTTTGATAGTTGATTTTTCTCGCTTCACGGACGTTGTAAAGGGGGGGTCGTACTTGCTCATTGTTGGGAGGGGGGGGGGGGGTCGTATTCACTTTCTGGTCTTTCTAGGAAAGGCGGTTGACTTTTCGTGATTTTCCTGTTTCATATGTGTACTATTTACCCCTTCCCCCCAGTTCGACGGCTCGATGAGGAGGGACAGAGGGCCAAAGGGGAGGGGGGGGGAATGTCGTACGGTCTCGACTACTAAAATCCCCAACCAATGATGTGCCCTGCTCCTTATGCTTTCAGAGCGATTGGGCTAGTTCATTACGCCCTCACAGGCGCTCTCCAGCGCAATGGCTTAATCGTAGTAAAACAACTTCAAGAACTTGTTGGCATTGCGACGAAAGTTGAAAGTGAAGTGAAAGTTTGGCGTTACCGTCGCCAGTGAGAGTAGCCGTGGCCTCTTCGCGAGTGGGTCGCCCTTTCCTCAAGTACTTCGGGCTGCAACAATAGCTCTCCATGCTTGCGTGCAGAACTACCGCGTCAGAAAATCAAATGAACGAAAGGGGGTCCTTCTAAAGCTAATTTCAAGGTTAATATTACTGCCAAGGGAAGGACTTATGTCGAAGTGAGCGTTCGAAATGAGATGTATATCGCCTGATGTGCATTTCGACGATAATTATGAATCCATCTCATATATCTACTGCGGATCTCTCTGGACGAAGTGGGACGTTTCTTAGAGAAGTAATATTCACACTCAAAACGAATTTCGGCGTAAAATCTTCGAATGTGAGACAAATCGCATCAAATTACAGCCGAATTGCACAGCGAGACGAACTACATCACCGTTGAGCCACCAAAGCAAAGCAGCCTTACGCACGAAATTCGTACAGAGTTTGGATATGCCCCCCCCCTTGAAAACCTCCAAAGCTTTACTCAGGTAGGCCCTCAGCAGATAAGGAATACTGATTCTCTCTCATCATCCAAAGGCACTCTAGTCAGTAATCATTTTGTTTTCAAAGGCATAAGGCACAATAATTTGGTACTCGGTCTAAAATGGTAGCAGAGGTGCTATATAGTGGGGGAAATGGCGAAATAGCGAAGTGAAACGGTCAAAACTTGGAAAAGAGCATCAGCATCGGTCCCACATTGTGGGGCGGGCAGGCGCGGTGGGGGTCTGGATCGGCATGTTTCTGCCTGATAGGGCGCTATAAAGGTACCTTCGCATAAAAAGGCGCCACACAGCGCCTGCTCAGAGGCGCCGAATTGCAATGTTAGGCGTAACAATCCTATAAGTCCCGAGGATTCATCATGTCACTGCCATTAAACGGTCATTTCGACCTACTCCTCCTTCCCTGATGTATTGC